CTCCCATTAGACCAGGTTGCTCAAGCCTTTATCCAGCCTAGCTTTGAGCAGTCTCAGCTTTCCCAGCCTGTCTTCATAGTGCAGGTGCTCCAGTCCTCTTATCAACTTCATGGCCCTCTTCTGGCCTCCTCTGGCCCTTCTTACTTTTTATATGTATTTTTTTCTTAATTATTTTGCATCCCCCACCACAGAACATCATGTTTCTATTCTTTCTAGCAAGTTTCTTCAAGATCCAGCTGATTGTGTTAGAGGTTAGAACCCCATTTCTGTTCTGCCCTGAAGGAATAAGAGATTAACTTCCATAAAACCATGGACATCCTGAGGTTTATGGTATATATGAAAAAAAAAGACATATGATCTGTCCTAGGGCAATGTGGGTGATCTCTCAAAGCAATATTGCCTTCTTGGAAAAATGAGATTCATAGAGCAGATGAGGGGGATACCCCAGGTTCATGATGCAGAATTGTAGGGATTTGATGGGAATTGTGCTCAGTTCTCAGGAGTCTGTGCATGATGCTGTATTCTTGTTTGTCCCCAGCCTTCACCTTCCAAAAGTCACAAAGCTGCAGCAGCATTTGAAAACTGTAAGTAGTGACAAATGGGCTTTGAAAGCCTTTCCCCCCTTAATCTGTCAGGGAGTCACAAAAATGTAACCCTTAATTTCCTTCTTTTAATGCCTCTGTTGCTAAATCTAAGAAATCCTCATCATCAGTGAATGCAGATTTAGGGGAAAACAACAGCAAAAAGATTTCAGGGATCATTCAAGGTTATTTAAACATGCTAACTGTACCTGTTGTCCTGTTCTGAAAACTGGATAGCTTATTTGGCAAATGACTGTACTTTGTGCTGTTCCTGTTTGACATGAGACTTCAGTCCCATCACTCTGTAGAGAAAGCAGACAGAAATCTCATCTTAATATCAGGTTTTGATAAAGTAGAGAGGCAACTCCATCTGTATCTAACAGGACATGTATTATGAGTAGTGAAAATAGGTCTTATGGCAGGAATTCCTAGCAATGCAGCAGATGGGTGGGGCATAGGCAGGGCCAGGAGAAAGGCAGGAGAAAAGAGAGACCAGTCCCACACAATTTATTGTGAGCTGTAACGATCTTGCTAGAACTTTGTGCTGGACTTGGAAGAAGGAATAGAGGCTAGAGAGTCCAGGTCACCTCCAGCATTAACTTCTACACTACAGCATTTTCACAGAACTTTTGCAGACATATTTACACAACCTTAGAGCTAGTTAAGTACTCCCACTGTAGCAGTTCATGTGCAAAGGGGAATTCTGCCATACCTTCCATAGAAAAATCAACAATACATAAGAGTTTGTTTACTACTCTGCAGAATATCTGGCATGCCATCATCCTTACATGAAAGACAAGCTCACAGACCACAGCCAGTTATCAGCCCTTTGAAAGAATTCATTAAAATGTACTGCCTTTTGTAAAAAGCATTCCTAGCATTTATCATTCATGAATTATGTCACAAAAAAAAACCCTCAAAACAAAACCCAAAACAAGACCCATACATACTCAGCTTATGCTTTTCTTCCTGCTTTGAAGCAGACACATTTTTGGTGAAAGCTCTACTTGCAGACTGAAGTACTTCTAAGCAAATGGGCTTTTAAAGCAAAAGAAAATCCTAGCTCCAGTGTGGTCTTTTGGCAGGAGTGGAATGAGCAATTTTGCTGCACAACAGGATGGGGAGGTAGAGGGGCACCCTCAGCGCTGTGTAGTACTTCTGCCAGTTCATTGTTTGGAATAATGCTGCTCTTGGGCAGTGATGAATGCTATCCCTCCTCTCCCTTCAGTATAGGGATTGCTCTGGATTTCACCCTTAGGAATATCATGCACCTCTCCAGTAGCAGCCTGACCACATAAGCCAAACACTGAAGTCTACATTTGATCCTTCATGAATTGTTTGGGAGCAACAACTGAGATTATAGATATACTGCATTCCCCAAAATAGTATGTATAATTCCTCTCTTCCCCCTTTTCTAAGACAAAATTTGTTAGAAGAAGAGCTTCTGGTATAGCAATCATGTCAATCTGATTAACTGTCTAGCTGGAACACATGGCCTTGGCAGCAACACTATTTCTAGATCCAAAGTCTGTGCTTTAAGGACACATCTTCGATGCTGCATGCCTGATTTATCAAATACAAATTCCCTGTGGCACAGCAACTGCATCAGGCATGTTGCTAAGAGTCAAGCAGAAGACGTAGGTGCCAAAGCCTAAAGTGAGGAAAAGATGACTGAAATACTGAGGTGAGGTCAAACTCGACAAGTTGCCAGCTTTTATGCTGAGTTGGCAGTGTCTCTCCTTGACCTAAATAAACTGATACGCCGAGGGAATAATTCTGGTATTCAAGAAAATAAATTGGGAGAGAGATTTGCACACACATTCTTTCCTGGAATAGGAACTACTAGAAAGAAAAGAAAAAAATTCTCTGAGAACCTTAAAAATCAGGGGCAACGACAGAAACTGTGAGGTTGGGTATCACGCACCGGTAAAGACAATGAAGCAAAAAACAAGTTGTCTGAAAATGTAGCCTGGATTCTGGTGTTATATGCATTTTCCTTTTTATTTCTCAGTTTCACATTGAACGTTAGTCTTCTGCTTTTGCTGCTGACAACAAATCGTTGTTTGCTGTTGGAAAATAAAGTCCATTGTTGTAAACAGAGGTACTAGAACAGCTGTGGATTAGGAAAATGTGTTGCCTGTAGCCAACAACAAATAACAATCACAGCAAGACATTTCCTACATTCTACACACTTGAACTCTCTGCTTTCTAAACCTGTTGACATAAGAAATTCTGTGATGTTTTTTCTTAAAACCAAATGGAATCAGTGTCTTCTCAAAGTGCAGGGTCAAAGTAACTTTGCTGAATTTTTAAGGGCTCTACCCTGGTGGGAGGGTGGGCAGAGTGGGCAGCAGACAGAGATAGCAGCTCTGGGAAGAGGCTGCCCTGTCTCTGTGTACTGTGTATGTATGCACATATCTGATATGGACTTGGAATATGTGCTGCCTGAATGGCTGACCACAGCTCCCCACTAGCACAACTGACTGCAAGATCCTCACTGCTCCCTGAAGGAGAGACCAAGACAGCTGCTGCAGCTGCTGCTGCTCTCCCATTGTGTTCCCTTTTGTGACAGCATCCAGTCAGGCAGAGTTCTTCTGATTATTCACTGTATCCTCATCTCTAATGTACCAAAACTTGGGTTGGTCTAAGCTAACATGAGTCCTACTTCTGTATCTGTGTTCCTGTCTTACCTCTTTTTCTCTTCAGTAGATTTAGATAGAAATGCCATTGCTTTTTTTTTTTAACCCTAGTATTTCTAAATAGATGTTGACTAGAAAGGCATTCTCATCTAGAAACTCATCCAAAGCCTGCAGACAAACCGACTGGTGAAACACTGGACCCTAACAATTCCATTGATTTAGCTCTTACCTGTCATCTGCCTTCTGCTGAACATTCAGAACAAGATCAGAGATACAAAGTTCATCTTCACCACAGTCTTTAATAAAAGGAATCTAGGAAACCAAAAACATTTCCTGAATGACAGGGCTCAACTTTAACATTACCTGCAGACACTACAGTGCAAACATCTTCCAGGTGAAGCACATTCATGGTTTGTGGATAAGAAAATCACTCTGAAGGACATTTAAAAACTCATGACACATGAACGACTTAACACTGAGCAACATCTTGCTATGTGTGAGCTGATCCAGAAGAATAGTACAGACAGGTTAACCCGTAACAACAGTGATGTGGTCAAATGATTTCCATCTCTCTTTTATGTACTCTTTTATTGCAGAATAAACTGACCTAAAAGAGTTCATCTTTGCCATCAACTAGAAGCTGACATCAACAGTGATGTGGCTGAACCAACGTGTGACACCACACTGGCTGGTGTGTGTGTGTGTGTGTGTGTGTGTGTGTGTGTGTGTGAGCAAACTCATGTAATACAGATATAAAAGGAACCGTGGGACACCCCCCATGCAACTTAACTAGAACATCAGTTTTCACTTGCATGTACCCATTTGGTGTTTGTGTGAGCCACACATTATGGATGTGTATAGCCATGCATTTTTCAATAGTAGGTCTATGTACTTACACTATAGGCCACAGATGAAGGAGAAGATATATCGAGGACAGGGCTGGAGCTGGGATCTGCAAGGCCAATGTCAATGCGCAAACTAAGAGAATTTACTGCATCTGAAGGTTCCTGTAAAACACATGGTTCAGATGACAGCTGCCAGCACAGCAAACAGGGTAAAATTGGTAATTCTATTGTAAATTGAGAATACATAGTAAAATCATACTCAGGGAAATAAAAATCTATTGAAACTATGAACTATAGGCTCTGTGTTATGCTAGAGCTAAATAACATAATTAAGAACTGCCTTTTCTATCCTAAAAATCCTGAATTTGACAGTCTATGAAACCAGAATCTTGCTAAGTATTTTTCAGTTGAGGGGGATTTGGGAAATAATTCAGTATACCATGCATGAAATTCATCTTACAGACATAAAGTTAATCAATGTCTTCCTTGGTTCATTTTTGTCATGCAAGAGTGCTTGAAATTGCACTTACCTGTACACTGAAGACATCATGAACACAATTCTCTTCATGACGTACCACAAGGTCCCTCTGCATGTACCTTTCATTATTTTCTTTGAACAATCCTCTAGAAGTCACTCTGGAGGACTGGAGATCTGCATCCAATGTTGCATTGTACTTTAGAGCTGCATGAAGAATAACAGTACATTTTTTGCTGAGCATGACTGCCCGTGATCTCATTGCCACGCTCAATATTAGAGTGACCAGGCTTTCCAAACCACACTAAATATTGTACCTTTTTTTTTTGTAGCTTGCTAAACACAGAGCAGTGTCAAAATGAAAACATTTTATCTGGTGTTTTCAAAGCAGTCAAACAGGTTTAGATCCTGTATAAGTTCTCATCCAGAGAGCACATTAAAGGGCAATCAATCCAGTCTCCACTGCAGATGTCTGACCCTGCAGTTCAGGCAAGTAGCCAGTCAGCAGTGCCAAGACTAGTCTAGATAAAGGGGTCTTGCAAGAATATCACTGAACTCTGAGGAGACTATAAAGAATCTGCACATTCTCTTCAATCATATCATAATTCTGTTGTCTTCGTATTATAACTAATATGCTGTGGAAATTCACTGTTATTTTGCAGCTCACAATCACAAGTTCCTAAAGGTACTATACATAGCACCAACAGTCCAACTGGTGTTATCTGTGAGGTTTAACTTAATAGCCACTGCTGGTCTCAAAAATATTTGGTGCTTTCCTGTCCTCTGAAAAGATGATCTTTCCTCCACTGACATCTGCACTGAGCCTATGGAAAATATTATTAATTTTTTTCTGAAGAGAGAGGAAAAGTCTGCAGTCTGCTTTTGAAACCAACAGGTTGAAAAAAACCAGCTTCTCACTAATCACATTTTCTGGAGATCATTGAACAGCAATGATACAGCTCTCCTTTACACTGTTAGTTCCACACTTTTCAGAGATTATGGAACCAGTGATGAAAGTAGGTCTTAAAAACACATTCTCAAGCACTTAAATTTTATACTGATTTTGCCATTCTTGACATTCAATCTAATATATCTTTAGGCTTTCCACTACTCATTTGAATAATGGACTTCTGAAGAAATTAATAAGACAAGTCATTGAAATACTCTTACCCACTTGACTATTTCTCTTATCAGGTCTAAATGTAGCCTGAAAACATATTTTGGCAGTTATTTCTGTATTCTTGTTCAGCAGACTGATTTTCTCAGGTTTAAATGAGGCAATTATGGACACATTTGCAATGCTTCTTGACCTGAAAAATATTTTTTAAAGGTCACATGGGGTTTTCAAGAGCACTGAGTAACACAGAAGCTGTTGTCTATTACTATCTGTAAATGTTAGCATTGATTTTTTTGGTTCCCAATGTAAACTTTTTAATGGCACCAGTAAAATTACTTTTCTTTGCATACAAGTGAATTTGTTGATATAGTAGCTTTTGGTAATGATAATAAATAATTTATCATGTAAAATTAATGGATAATCAATGTCTTTATCCTAACTCTCTATTCAATCCCTTAAGGTATCAGAGAATGAAGCCCTTGTCCTGTTTTCCCAATAAGTAACCTTCTTCTGCTACATTAGGGAAGTTACTGAGCTCCTTCAGGAAGGTGAGGAAGGACAATTCTTCATTCTATTTAATAATCTTATTTTTCAGAAAAACAACTTTCATGTAATTAATCAAGACTTTGAAGAGCAGTTTCAAAGGAACCCTGCATGTAAAACCAAACTAATCAAAAGTGAAACTCATTAATCAGCCCAAATGCCAGAGTGAAAGAAGAATGAGAATCTTCATTAATCAAATCTAAATAAAAGCTGGTACTCCAAGGAGCATAATTTTCTTTCATGAAATTCCCACCAGCAGCAGCACCAGCAGCGGTCAAAGGTCCAAACTGACCATTCAGTTTTAATTATCTTGTTTCATTATGAAAGAAGTAGCAATTCAGGGATGTTTTTCTTACAATGGGGAGCCTCAGGCGAGAAGACAGGCAACAGGCAAGGAAACTGCATTTGAATTTAACTCCTCAAGCAAGGAGTGGAAAACACACAGTTCTTAAGGAGGCAGAACATTTGGGTTCTGTGAAAACTTACTACTTTATTTTGTGAAAGTACTCAGATTGCTGTGGCAAAGGCCATGTGCCAATAAAAACTGCTTTCCTGCCAGAAATGTGTCAACTCTGTTACTGGTCACTGTCCTTACCCTGCCAAACAATCCTCTCCCCGTTATTAGCCTACCGTCCAGTTAAGGTCATGCAGGTTGTGTGGGAGATGAGTTCATCTGTCTCAGGCTCAGCTATAAAAATTATACTGTGGCTACTAAAGTACACAACCTTCTGTTACAAATGCTCTCAAGCAAGTCCCACTCCCTGCTGCTGCCCCTTCGCTCTGGACCATGCATCCACACAGCAGCAGGATGTCTCCTGGCCCTCCCATTCCTGGACAGGTCCCTCCCAGCAGCTTCTGCCATATGGGTTCATTCCCCATACCCTTGCTTTGCTGCCTTGGCCTTCAATGGCTTGATGAAAAATGCTTAGAAGAGATTAAGTCTAATACTCTTTTTACAGCCAGCTATGATAGGAGTGATGAGACAATAAGTGTGTTGGCTCTGAACACATGAAATTAAAGAGCTTTTTGGTTATTTGTTATTAAAGAGCTTATTCTCCTGTTTAATTAACTAAATGTTCAACTTCTATCTGAATTATTATTTACTTCATTTCTAAAAGAGTTTACCAACCATAGCAGAACCACATTTCCATCAGCACCAACTGATATGTCAGTAATGCCATCGTCATCTAAGTCTCTATGGCCATCTACTGATCTTCCAAAGAATTGGAGCTGTTGTCCAAAAGCAGAATCCGATCCTAAAATTTTCTGGGAAAGAGAGTTTGGTTACTGAGTTTGACACAAGCATGCTGAAGTCTGTAGATAGCAGCCTAAGCAATAGATTTTCACTGATACTCCCTGCATATGCAATGTATTGTCTAAACAAAATGTGTTAGTTTTCTCAGATACTGTTTAGCACTTCTTTCTCTCCTGTTGGAGCAGACAATGGACTAGATTTTTCTGTCCTGGGAGTAGATCAACTTAACTGACTGCTATATGCCAGCTAGTACTTACTGGAAACTTCATCCGTCTCCCATTGAGCAACTCAAAGAATATGAAGCTTAACAGGACTTCTAACAATTACTTTCTGCAACCAGAAAATCTTCATGGAAAGTGGTATTAAGATTACCATTATAGGATATGTGAAGACCATTGAAAGACTTTCCCTTTAATACTATGTAATTTACAGAGCTGGGATTTACATAATCTTCATTGTTATACATCAGCCCTAAAAACGAGTTTCAAAAAACATACAGGAAATTAGCTGACTTCACAGTCAGGCATCAAAAATGGTAAAAGACTCAGATGGAGCATCTTGAAAATCCTTTTACTCTATATGGTTCAGTTATAAGCACCTCAGCATCAACCAGGGAATGCTGGCAGCTGAAGGGAAGAGTGGTGCAAAACTTGAAGTAAGCCATGAGAATAACAGTACTCCTGTAAGAGGATGAAACAGTAACTAATTAAACCAGTAAAACCTTCTGTTTTCCTGTAGCAGATCTAAAGGCACTGAGTACAGCAATATTCAACGAAGTTATTTACCTGAGAATACTTGGTACGTATAGTCTTTTGAAATCCATTGTAAATGTAAATTGCTCCAGAGTTTTGGTTTTCCAGTGGTGCACCTATTACAACGTCATTAAAGCCATCCAAATCAATGTCTGCAAGTGTTGCAATTGCTGATCCAAAGCGTGCATTTTCTGATCCCTGTGGACCTTCCAAGAGTTCTCTCTGATCCAAAATTCTCTTTAAAAATTGAGAAGGAGGGAAAAGCAAAAACACAGCTATCATTGCACCAGATTAGACATAGGAGCAGTATCTATGTGCATTGTTTTTTGTTTCTGTTTTCCAGTACATTCCTCTTGGACTGCTCAACACTGAATTCCTTCCCCATTGTATTGCCCATTCAGTTTGCATTATGTCTCAAAGTCTTGGCAAGAATTACACAGCAAAATAAAAGCATGCTATGCAAAGTGCTAACAGCAAATATAACCATATGTATGGAGCTTAAATGCTCTCACTGTCCTCATCTGACTGTTCTGAAAGTTTCACAATACATTGAAAAATACAGTTTCCAGTTTTGGATAACTGTTTTTTATGCAGAGGGAATGGAAATTATGTAACTGGACATAATTCTTTGAAACAGAAATGGAATTTCCTTACAAAACTAATGCAAAAAACATGTGTCCAAATGGTAAACTCCTGACCTCTGCAATGCCAATGAAGACTGGAGACCTTTATAGTTAAATAATCCCACTTACATTAGATTAAATGCAGCTCTGACAAATAGTGTTCTCAACTTTAACCTCAGTTATCACACTGTGCTTAAAATTTTAGAAATACCAGCCAAGTTATTTATTAAAAATGACTAGAAAAGTATTATTTATGCCATGTGGACAATTTGCACAAATCCACAGACTGTAACCAAAAAAAAAAAAAAAAAAGAATCTTTCATAATTCTTAATTTTTAAATAATTTAAAACCTAACATTTGACAGACAGTAAAAGTTGTAAGGCAAGTCTTCCAAATTATTTGGCTTTTAGATGATGAGAAAAAAATCCTTTCATTTTTCTTTTCTTCCACATTTTGTGTCTGATACCACAGACACAAAGACCAATGTTAGCTGCCAGCAGTACCACTTTCAGCTCCTGCATCTATCTTGAAATTGCTTCAGGGCAGTTTTCCTGTTGCTTCAGGGTAGTCTGACTGTGAGGTGCTACTGAAGAGGATAGTCCTTCCTCTCTATTTATTTGATTGCAATTCACCTGTTTTCTCTGATGGATGGCAGGTATTAATTTACTTTGCATATCTATACATCCAGTGTTCCAAAGACTGTTCAAGAGTGCCAGAGACCTCAGGATGGTTCATTCAGATTTTCTGAAAATGCCTACTACAGGTTTGAATAAAGAGCATCATCAGTCAAGCATCAGACAAATAACACAGCTTCACTGAACAGAGGAGACAAGAAGTGTAATAGCAACCATCTTGTGTCAGAGTCTATGAAACAATGCAGAAAACTGGTAGAAGAGCATTTCTGCAAACTCCTTTGGGAATACTGTCAGGTGTTGAACACATTTGCCAAAATCAAACGGCCATTAATTAGCAAAAGCCTCGAGCTGGGTTTTTCAGATCTGGCCAACCCTGTGCTATATTAGCACAAAGCACCTAGGTGCAGTGCCTGACACCAGGACCAGGGAGACACCAAGAGCAGCAGGCCCCTGACCACTAATAGTGCTTAGCTACTGTCTTGCTTATTGGCTCCATTTTGGTCTTCTCCAGCTGGCTAATTCTCAGATTACATGCACAAGCAGTTCTGGAGAACGTTTGCAGTTGCTACAGAAAAGCATAACAGGCAAGGGAAGACCTTTGCCTGCAGTCCTCTAACCAGGTAGGCTTGGCATCATTTACCCCTGCCCTTAAGCCACATCCTAGGAAAAACACATCCTCTGTTTCTTGTCAGAAAAAAAAGTCACTTAAAATATTCCTAACACACTTGAAATATTTCTAACACTTTAAAAAGATTCACTAAATAGTGACTTAGAGGTCCTAGAGAGGCCAAAGGCCTTTCAGCATGCATGTATCCAGTCTGCTCTGAAAGCAGCTAGCCCAAAGCAATGCTGGCTCGAGCCATTCTTACCTTTGTGACAGAGAACATGTATACTCTCCCTTCTTCTTTCTTCAAGTCATTCATAAACATTGGTGCACCCACAAGCAGCACATCTGTCACAGAATCCCTGTCAACATCCACTGAACACACCACACTTCCAAAGTAGGAGCCAATCTGAAATCAGTAGTAAATGGATTATGTTTGTATGTGGATTTTGTAAAACATGTTCTAGCACCTGAGTCAGAAACTTACATGCAGTAACAGTTCAATATTAATGAATGAAAATCCCCACTGATGAAGGAAATTACTATATAACATACTCCAGTACTTGAAGAATCATGTCCTTACCATATGTCCACTGCTTCTGCCCAGTAGCTGCTGCTATGGCTTTACCACTTGACACTATGAATGCCAACAGAGAATAACCTATGGGAGATGTACTTTTATATATCTGTGCATGTGAAACTATCCAGCCTCTGGTCTGGCCTCAGATTTACCTTACAGATGAAACCAAAACCATCTAAACTCACTGCTCTTTTCTAAATGGAGAGTTCACCGAGCCTCTCCCAATTAGAACAATGGACAGAATGACACATTAATTAGCTTTGTATATTATCTTTTACCACTAACTGGTAACTGACGAATTCCTAAAATACTGTTTAAGAGCTACAGTTAACCTCATTGAAATAGTCAAGTGGCAGAGAAAAGTTCAAGTGGATTCTAAATGCTTTTGAAAGAAAGATGAATTTTCAAAACATACTGCAATTTACTGCTGGGTCAATAAAAACAGATGCGAAATCCACATTCATGACCAAAATATACTTGCCTGCTCGCCTCTTTGTGACTGCACAATTGCAATATTACCATCGCTGCTAACATCATAAACCACCACTCTGCCAGTGTAGTTGGATCTTGGTGCACCAGCAACAAAATAGACAGAGCTCATAGTTGAGAGAACAGCAATAGAATAACCTGGGAATAGAAGCCAGCATTTAATACGTGTGAGAGACCATTAATTACAATTCATCAGTTGGTTATCCGTAAAGCCACAGAGGATGAGTCAATCTGGTACATTAATCACAGAGAATGATGCTTCCAGATGGGAAGTTAAGCTGTCACATATGCATAAAATTTGCAATATTCTTCTGGAGAGAACAATGACACACAGAGCAAGTTGGAGCAGGTTTGCAGAATAGCATGGACAATAGTTTAGCCTATTCAGTAAAATGTAGACCACAAAAATGTCATGCTCGTGAAGAAGATAGGAAAAAACAGGCAAAGAGTACCCTTGGAAAGAAGAAATAAAGAGAAACATGAGATGAACATTTGGGCCAGCCTTCATACTGGGGAGGAACACCTAGCTTCTGTGAAGCTTGCAGCACATTTTCCCACAGCTCACCAAACCACAGCCCAGTGCTTTGGCTGAATAGAACAGGCTATATTAACAGCTTGTCAGCTGAAGGGTTGATTGAACTTCTTTGAACACTTTAATCCTCATTCCCATTATTCTAACATTGGTTGCTTTCAGGAAACATCTTTTAATACCTGCAAATATTTTAAATAAGTATTAGCACTATAAATCTAGCATTAGCACATACTTTACATTTCTGTGGTTTAATTACAGCAACTTTATTTTAACAGAAGAAAACAAAATCATCCTTTATAAAGTCTATAGTTAAACTGAACAAAATACCAATGACTGGAAGAATATGTGTGCCTTTAGCAAGCTGCAGGACAATATGAGGAGCACGGTCTAAAAAGGATTATGCCTTGATCTTTGCATATACCAGTTTAATTCACATTTTTGTTTGGACAACATTTTTCTCAGGCGAGAACATCTTCTGCAACTAGAAGTTCAATCAGCAACAACAAAACAAGATTTTATTCTGTAAGTTAAGGCCACACGTTCCTAACTAATAAAGCATACAGCCATTTGAAGTGAAAGGGTGCAGTGCAAAATAGGGGCCAATCCAGCAAGCTGTGATGTGCTAGCAGCCCTTAACTTGGGCTCCCCCAAACTGGTGAGAGAAAGCTGGTATGGAGAGCTCCTAGCAGAGCTCTGTCGGTCAGGCACTGGAATATGTTGTCCAGGGAGGTAGAGTCACCATTCCTAGAAGTGTTTGAGAGACATCAGAACCTGGCACTGGAAGATATGGTTTAGGGGTTACAGTAGAGTGACAAGTTAATGGTTGGACTTGAACGGAAAGGTCTCTTCCAACCTTGATGATTTTATGATTCTAGTGGAGGACAGAAGGTGGAAGGGAAATGAAGGGACAGAAAAGGCAACAACACTGTTTGCTCCAAAATGATTGAAGCAAATACACTAAAAGTGCCATGCAAAGAAAGGAAATTACCTGACATTTTAAAAATTATTATAAAAGGAACTAAGAAAAAGCCTGAAGAGGTCACACATGCAAAAGAGCTCATTAAGCTAGGTTTAGCTTTATTCATTGTGTTGGATGTAAGCAATGCTGAGCCATAGGGAAAAGAGTATGTTAGCTGCAAAAATAGCATCTTATTAAATAACTTCAAGGATAAGAAAGTCAGAGGTGCTTAATGTAGTGGCATTATTCAGGGATGAATTGCCAGAGCAGGCATTTTGAAGGTTTGCAGAAAACCTTCCAATGAATTGAGAAGACAAACTGACTGGCTTTACTGGATCACAAAAACGTGTCAAAAAATACATATGGGGATTATAAATAAGACCTCTATTAAATGGTAGCAGTATTTCCAAAACTATAAACTGAACAGGAAAAGGCCAAGAAAAGAGCAAGCACATATGAAACAATAGTAAGTCAATCAACTTCTCATCCACATGGAACTGGGGAAGAACATAAAAATGTTATAACAGAAGGGACACACTAAGTATGATTCACTAAGCAGCCTTTTCAAATGCCATGATTTATTGCATCCCTGTGACTGTGCTGGCTTTGGCTGGGATATAGTTAATTTTCTTCACAGCAGCTGGTACGGGACTGTGATTTGGATTTATGCTGGAAACAGCGTTGATAATACAGGGATGTTTTAGCTATCGCAAAGCAGTGCTTACACAAGGTCAAGGCCTTTTCCTCTCCTCTCTCCACTCTACCAGCAAGGAGGCTGGGGGTAGACAAGAACTTGGGAGAGGACACAGCCAGGACAGCTGACCCCAACTGACCACAGGGATATTCCATCCCATATGGTATATAATCCATATAAAGCATATACAGCTGAAGGAAGAAGGGAGGAGGGCATGTTTGGAGTGATGGCATTTGTCTTCCCAAGTCACTATTATGTGTGATGGAACTCTGTTGTCTTGGATATGGCTGAACACCTCCCCTGTTTTGCTCTGCTTGCATGCATGACTTGGTTTCCCTATTAGACTGTCTGTATCTCAACCCACAAGTTCATTCACTTTTACTCTTTTGACTCTCTACCTCATTCCACAGAGGAGAGTGAGTGAGTGACTACATGAAGCTTAGTTGCCATCTGGGGTTAAACCACAGCAGTGACAACGACTGATTTTTTTCAGTTTACCACATTGATATGAGTAGAATTCAAAAACACAGTAAGGTTTCCATTCAATGAACTGTTGACCACTACATTAAATATTTTTGGACAGAAAATTATTTTCATATTCTCAAAACAGGAATCTGCCTAGAACAGAATTTTCTAAGTTCTCTAATATCACAATAAAAGTTTGATACATTTCCAGATTTGTATTGCAGTCCCTTACCTAGGTAAGAGCTATGATTTCTGTCCTGTAGAATCTTCTCAAACACATGGCTTGGAAAGGTGGTGACTTTGTCTGAAGACTCCTGAACTACTGTTCCACTCCAGTCATAGGCCCCAACAGCACCCAGCAGCAGAACGTCCTTTGAGAAATAAAATCAACGTTTCGGAACTAACCATTCTAGAAAAAGTGTGAGCAAAGCTGCAGTTTTCATACATAATTTCCTACATCACTGTGTTTAAGGCAGTGATGTACAGTCCAAAGACTGCAGTTAGTTGACTGGAGCTGCTTATAACTACCATTACATGCAGAACTTTATTGCCCTATTGAGAGGGATTATCACTCCTGTACTGCAAGACGACATTTGACTACTTTAGCTCCCATGGCACTGCAGCTCAAGATAAAAGGGGTCTATTTAAACACTGTGATAATTTCCTAAGTCTGTCTACCCTGGGGTTGGGCCTGCTAAGTCTATGCTTTTATGCTGTCGTGATCCTCTGAAGACTGAGGATCACAAGAACAAAGCTGTAAGAAAAACCTAAACTCCTCTTTTTGACAACAAAAGTGCCAGTGACAGCACACAAAAGCTGATGGAAATGGATACAGAATTTCATTCTTTACATAAGGAGACATTTTTGAGAGAACAGTTAAATCTAAAATCCAAATTAATGTGGCTTATTATACAGAATACTTCATACAGAAATATTTCATACAGAAATACTTATACTTGTACACAAAGCCCAAACATAATTTAGCTTATTCAAATCATTAAAATTCTTCACTGAACTGAAATATTGTTATAACAAACTATAATAAAAAATTGGATTTGTAATTTTCCTGAAGAAATGCCCAAATGTTTCTATTTTTTTGCCACTTTCTAGCATCAAGGGCTTCATAATTTAAAGTCTTAATTTGTGAAAATACAGAGGACTTTTTAAAAACTATTTTATTCATCCTTAAGGACTATGAGACAGAAACAACCTTCTTACATTTTCAGTTGAAAGCCTCTTTAATCACACTTGAGTTTTATAAAGAGGACCTGCTGGGTCAAGATAATCTTAAAATTGATTAGCATTAAAAATATATCTTTTTGTTCTTTCTAATTTCTAAGTGAAATGTGTTTAAACAAATATTACTAACTCTATAAATAATAAATTCTTTTCAGATTTTCTTTATTTTAATTTTGGTGACTGACTAGAAATATACAGTATAGTTTCAATTCTTCTGAGTTACTCCCAGGATACTAACTAAGAGCAATTGATTTTTTTCCTGCTCAGAAATCACTGAAATTATTCTATTAACACATCTCAAAATCATTACATGAAAGAAACTGTTATTAAACTTTCCATACTAATATACATTTTTTCATTTTAGATATATCTACCATCTGTTAGTGGCATTCAAGTAAAAAAAAAAAAGACAAGTTAACATTTTCTTCTCGTTAAAAGATCTTAAATCAGACAATGTGCTTTATTATTCTTGTTTTGTTGCACTCAAGTCTACATAATTACATCTATTTTTATAATTAAATAATTGAATTTTCATACCTTTTTTTGTGAATAATGTGCACTGAAGCCCACCTGTGACATTTCCATTTGGAAAGTGTCGCCTTGATCTGTACCTGGTAAAACAGATATCCACAAATGGTTAACCCTATAGAACCACACAGGATCGAATCTTGCTGCCTCTGAGTTTAGCTGTATAGAGACTGTATATATCCACCAACTCTGCTAAAGCATTTACAAACACTGGAAATCAGAGCTGATAAACTGCAGAAAATCTGGAGGATTTAATGGCAAATTGATAAGACAGAGCCATGATGCTGCAGGTCTCTTCCGCAAAAAAAGGCAGAAAAGAATGTTAAATATTGAATCAGTCTGCAGAGTCTTGTCACTGTGGCTAATCTATTTTTGTGTTTCCTAGGAAGCACTAATAATATGCTGAAATTGGCAGCTTTACTATCTGTACGTTCACAACTTTCAAAATCAATATGAATGTTTATTGTCATACAGGACTTATAGAAACTGTTGTATTTGTCTTGAAAAATACTGTGACATCCAGGAATATTTCCTAAGCTAGATGGATGGAAATTCAATGGGAGTGCTCAGGAAAACTCAAGAGGGGGAGGTCAATTCATCCCCTCACCCTGACTAGCAGTATGGGCCCAGTAAAGTATAGACGGAGGTGAAAGAGAAGGGAAGATTTCATCAGGAGGAGCACAGGAATGTTGCAGCCATAATAAGGTCTTATGGGAGGGCTGAGGGCAGGTTACAAGTCTCCAAATCAAGGTCTGAATTTGACGCAAAAAAACAAGCTTGGCAGGGGACAAAGTGCCTCTGAGTCACCTCTGCAGCACTTTCCTCCAAACAGTACACAGAAGTGTGGGTGATGCCAGGGATGGAGCCTGGTAGGCACCACACAGGTTGCATACTGTAGCTTTTCAGTTGTGTAATTGGTAACTTAGTCTTCTGGTTGATTTTTTTAACTTTACATTTGTTTAGCATTCACACAAGTGAAGCTGACAAGCATAAAGATAGTTCCAAATACATCTGTATGCATATGGACAAGGTCCCAGGCCTGCAGTCCATGACTTGATAGAAATTGTCAACAGCTACAGAATGTTTTCCACAAACTGAAGAAACTAACTTGAAGCTCAGGCTGACTAGGGATGAAGTAGCTGGGGAAAGACCTGTGCAAACCAGATCCCTCCTGGTGAGCAGGGAGCAGCCTGCAGCTCCAGCTGCCCCTCACTTTCACAATACTATGATATGCTGAAGCTAAATAAAATCTTCAGCTTGTCAGCTGTGAGAATCCTGTCTATTTTTTCAAAGAAATCGAGTATTTTACCTTCTATGCTAAAAATGCGCTCTCCAAGTGTTCCTGCTTCTTCCAGTAGCGCAGCCTCAGATGACACATTGAAGAAATACTTCTCTGTAGGATGACTAGCAATTCCTTTGATTTCTTTGATTAAGTTTTTAGTATCAAGTTCATGTCTGATTAAGTATCCCAAAACCTTGTGTAAAAAAACCACAAAACACAACCAAAAAAAACAAACAACAAAATAAGAACGAAAGAAATTGTGGTATTACTCCATTTCCCTCTGTCTTATTTGAGCAAATATACTACATATTACCAAAAAATTGCCTTCATACATATTACTGAATTCCTTATCAGACTGTATTCCTATGCAAGGGACCATTCATATAGGAAAAATACATAAACCATGCCAAAAGCACTGACGTTTCTCAGGCAGTATTGGTCTTGTTTTTTCAGCCACTAAAGAAGAATATTTCGGTAGTTCGTAAGTACTCATTTCACTTAGTTTCAGTCTCACCGGTGTAACAATGCATGCATTGTATACTGCTTATGTATAGGACATGCATTTTCATACACACACAACAAAACCATCTTCCAAAATTTCAGTAATATATAATGTCAGTATTACTTACAGCAATGCCAAATCTGGTTATATTGTCTTCATTGCATTTACCTATCACTGTTTTCAAGTTGGAGCCATCATGTGATTCACCATCTGTCACAACAACCATTACTTTTGTGGCTGTGGGACGTCCTCCTGATTCAGGTGAGAAGGCATATTGTCTGTCATAAAACAATGTGTTTTATCACATGTCAGTCTTGGCACCTATAGTGCAATCAATACATCCATCACTGACTTAGAACAAGGTGCATCTGAGGCGCATTTTCCTTTGTAAATTAACAATCTGCAATAATAATTTTCAATTATGCTCCTGATAGTTTCTTCTCAAACCACTGCTCAAAGAGCCATCAGAAATATAACCAAATGAGTAGGAAAAAAACCCAAAACCGTAGGACTGGAAGGACTGGATGGTGTTCTGACAGAAATGCAAATTCCAGGGAAAACAATATTTTTAGTACAAATGTTTCTAAACGAAAAGGAGGTTTTGTCAGAACTATGTAAGTTTTGTAACGCCAGACTAGCCAAGAATTGGCACCATCAAGTTCAAACAAAAGTGGAGGAGAATAATTAATAGGCTCCTTATACTGCAGCAAATATTGACTTCATTGAAAGCTGAGTCTGTTTCTAAACAAAATTTTCAAGGCCATTTGATTCATCATGTATTTTGGCCTAGAGTTCTGTCCTTGATTCCACTTGAAAACAGCATCTTCCTGTTGAGAAACAGACCTGGTTTGTGTACACATGCATAGTCACAGCATGTTGTTTTAAGTTTTTGCTATTTTTTTATGGTGCTAGTGTTGCAGGCACAAACTGACAACAAGAGATTTTATTTTCTTTGCAAACACGAATGTTACTGGTCCCACTGAATCCCTGGATATACTTAAATTATTTCAACGGGTTTGTATCTTTCCTGAAAGTTTCTCCACTGTGTTTGACACACTGTCATTTTTAGACATCTATGACTGACCAAGAAATTCTGCTGGGTAACAGAGCTACTTTAGTGTAGAGTTTACCCAATGGTTTACAACATGCTTTTCAGCAAGTCTAGTTTACCTATTCTGGTACCATTCTGCATGGGACACTATAAATGAACCTGAAGGATTCTGCCTAGCACTGGGAGCCTACTCAGAGGCTCTGAGCACATAGTCTCGCAATGGGAATGAAATTCAGGATGTTCTCATTGTCTTGTAAGGTAAGTTACAATAGTTGCACAGTAATCACCACAGTGTCTTACCTTGCATTGTCAATGGCTTTGAAAGTATTAGTGAGATCTCCTCCCTTCTGATATGTTCCCTCCATTGCTTTAACAACCTCATCCTTTGTTTGGTAAGTGTTCAGGTTGAAGACTACACGGGGATTATTAGCATACTGAATTAACCCCACCTAGGCAATAAAGAAATTGTGTTAGATTATCATGCATTACAATTAGTTACATAAGATCTTGATGCTTACTTATTTATCAGGTTGGAGTAAAAGGTTTGCAGATGCACATGGGGTTATAATTTTCTTTCAACACATATAAAACCAATTAATATTAACACATTTGGAAAGCAAAGAAATCCAAAACGCTCTTGCACCTTATTTATGATGGACTACAACATGTTAATGCAAATAATCTGAAACAGTAGACATTAAATGTTTGCTTGGTTACTTCTGGAAGAGCTGATGGATAGCAATAATACAAGGAGCTCTGGGAAAAAACAGCAAAAATTCTACAAGCTGACAGCACCTCAGTCTGATCTCCTCTAAGGAAGTCCTAAAGGTTAGTTAAAACCCTGTTTATTTTTCACACAGGTGCAGCTAAAGACATATGGCAAGATGAACACTTAACATGAAAGAAAAAGAGAAGATGTGAGGTTCAGAAAGGACTGATCAGGAAGCCTAGCTTTTAAGCACCTCACTTCCAAAGTAGCCCAAGGAAGAAGGCAGCCTTTGGGAGAGAGATTTCCAGTGCCCCAGTCTGTTTCCAGAACTGTTTATGGAAAATGGACAACTGTAAAGACAGAAGATATTTTACAATAAAGGCAATCAGATTTTCCTTACCATCAGCAAATTAAAAGGACAAAAGAACCCAAAGATTAGTTAGTAACCCAGAAGGAAAAAATCCCATTGCAGCAGTTGGAAAGTAAGAGCTGTATGAAAAGCCCATTAAAAATAAGTTCTCCTTTTACCACATTCGCACAGATTATATTTTAACTATTTTTACATCTAAAGCATATATAGATAGATATAACCTATCCAGATATAACCTAGGTTTCTATTTCAGTTGGTTTATATTTTGACTCAAACTACTAATCTCTTCTGAAATAGCTTAGCTGTCAGATAAAAACCCCAATACTGAATAGGATAACTGCATAGTCTGTGGCTTTCGGGGAGGTACTATCGTTACACTAAATCGCACTTGGTTTCCTTTAAAATTGTCTTTTCTGGGTTGTTTTTTTTTGGTCTTTCTTAAAGATGTCTTTGACTTACCTGGGTTTTGTTAAGGCCTATGTCTAAGCCTTGTACAAATTTTTTCAAAAATGCCCGCACTGCATCCCAGGGATAAATGCTGTTTGACTCATCACAAACCACCACAACATCTATAACAGAGGAACATTCTGAAACAAAAATAAAAAGCGGACATTAAATGCATCTGCAGTCTCAATATACTTATAACTCTTCAGCTAAATCCAGAGGTGCATATTTAGGTCTCACAGAGGCAACCCTTCACATCAGAAGGCTTTGCCAGAATGAGGCCTCAATAGAAATATTATGCATGATTTGACCCTGCACTAGTGCAATGCCTCTGAATACGGAGAGATACCGTATTCATATCAGCACTGGATTGTGATCTGTCAGTCCTTGCATATGAATTTTTGTCAGTCCTTATGTATCAGTCACAGGATTTTGCTTTTGGCACATACATTTTTTAAGAAGTCAAAATCAACAGTCCGTAGCAGGATGTATCTTGATTTTGTTTTGTATGCTTTGTTGGGGTTTTTAGTTTTGTTTTGTTTTTTAATTGAATCTGTTCTGCACATGTTGCCTTACTTTGAACAGCAGGAGAAAAGCTTCTTAGGATCTGGAAACTTGGGCTGACTTCAGAACAGACTCCTGTAGCATAGTATTGGCTTCCACACTGCTGTGCCCACAAGGGACCACAAGTCTTAAAAACAACAATAAAAAGAAATTGTAAGAATAACAAATACTTGTCCCACCATATCCATAGAAAAACCCACAATAAGCAGGACTACAGGCATGCAGCATCTCTAGGAAAGGGGTTACACAGACTGTAGGGATTTGAGATACATAGAGGGGTCCTGCGGGTAGAAAGCTTCCTTTCTCGCCGAAAAGATTTTCTGCCCACGATGATCCTAG